AAGAGATGCTCTACCTTGCAGGAGGCAATTCATACTGGGGTATGTGTTTCCTGCTTTTCATCTCATCTTCCCTATACTAAGAAGAATAAGACAAGAAAAAGTATCTGTCATCCTAGTGGCTCCATTTTGGCCTTGCAGACTATGGTTCCCTCTCCTTAGGAGCCTTTGCAAAGAACCTCCTTTAGATCTGCCGAAAGTCCCAGACCCTCTACATCAAGGTCCCATTCTCACTTCAGATCCAGCATCCTTCAACCTGATGGTGTGGAAATTGAAAGGGAGAGGCTAAAGGATAAAAGTTTCCCATAAGCAGTGATTAATACTCTTCTACAGGCAAGAAAACGGTCTATGTCTGCAACTTACTACAGAGTTTGGGACGTATTTTCTTCTTGGGCTTTATCTAAAATAATTGATTTTCAAAAACCTAATACGAAAGACATCTTGGAAATCCTGCAATTTGGCATTGACAAGGGACTGAGCTACAACACCTTAGAGGTCCATGATTTAGCATTATCAGCCCTTACTAACCACAAATGGGCATTTGATATGGATGTGGCTAGATTCCTCACAGCAGTATTAAAGATCCATCCTCCATCAAAAGCTTTTTCTCCTCCATGGGATTTGCCATTGGTTCTTAAAGCATTGAAAACTGAACCTTTTGAACCTTTGGAATCCATACCTCTTCACCTGCTGACTATAAAGATGACATTACTGGTGGCTTTGATATCAAGCGGAAGAGTATCAGAGCTTCATGCTCAATCAGCCAGAAAACCTTTCACAATCTTCCACAAGGATAGAGTTATTTTATGCACAGTTCCAGAGTTCCGGACTAGGATAACTTCCTCTTTCCACATTAATGAAGAAATTGTTCTTCCAGATTTGCATTCAGAGACTCTATCCAATGAGGAAGCTTCAGATCTCTCTTCATTGGATCTAGTTAGATGTGTTAAGATTTAAATTAATTGAACTTCCCCTTGGCGTTCCTTTCAAATACTTTTTGTGCTACCTAATGGGGCTATGAGAGATACTATAGCATCTAAAGCAACAATTAGCAGATAATTTGTATCAGCTATTATCAAAGCCTATTAGGCTTCGGGAGTGCCAGTACCAGAAGGTCTTAAAGCACATTCTACCAGGTCTCTCTCTTTTTCTTGGGCAGCAGCGGCTAATGTATCTCCAGAGCTAATTTGAAGAGCAGCTACTTGGTCTTCAGCTAGAACTTTCATAAGACATTACCAGTTGTATGTCAAAGCAGGACAGTTTGACCAATTTGGTAAAGTGTTCTTTCAGCTTTTTTCATTTGAATCCATGTCTAATTTAATTTTGTTTTGTGCATGTCACGGGTTCGTGAGGCTATTGCTGTTATTCCTTCAATCCTCCACTAGTCCTAATTCCAGATGTGCTGAATATAGTGAAAGTATTCCCTTTGTGTAGAGTTTCCCCAATATAATGGATGCAACCAGTCATATTGGGTAAAAGCAGCAATCTGAACTTTATTAGGCCATACTCGGCTTCTTATGCAGTGCTTCTAGCATGGGGTTTCCAATACAAAATCACAGGGGTTCCTTTCCCACAAGCCATTGTGTTTGAGAGATAATTGAGCTCCAATCAAATTATCTCTCAAATAGGAAAACGTACATACAATTTTTACATATCACAAAAATACATGACAATGGGGCAGGGTTTGGATGCCATCCTGGAAGGTCGTAGGGGAAATGAGCTCCTGCCAAAACCCAATTAAAAAGTGTTTTAAAGGTGGCAAATACCCCAACACAGATCATCCTCACACGGAAAATCTTCTCCTGCATCACCAGAGTGACCTAGTAGTTGACTATAAACCCACCATTCTAGCCAACCGGAAGCTGCGGCATAAATCCTACTGCGGCCTTGTGCTGCCCTGGCGGAAGAAGCGACTGATCTCCACGTCAGGGGTGAAACAGGCTTATACGCTTGTGGATAGTCTGAGGCTCGTACTCCCCCCTTTCGGTCGGACGTGGCCTCCACCAAGTGAGTTCTTACCACTATAACGCTCCTGGGCGATCCCAGTGAAGGCAGCCTACACGTGGCCTCCCCAAAATGGCCGATGGCAACACTACGCAAGCTCACTTGCAACTGGAAGCAGACTTCCAGCAAAGATTCAACACCATGTGCCAGCGGTATTGGAGCAACTGGGAGAATCAGCGAAAGCCACCCAAGATGCCTGCACCCAAGCTCTGGGTCGATGACTCTCTCCTGGGTGAGAAACCCAGAAGGTTCACGTCCCCACCCATAGTCCATGCTCCGGACTGGGACACTATCACCTGAGACCCCGAAGCCCAAGGACGGTGAGGGAGGCTTATGGACATGGGGACCTGGGTCCTGACAACACCCGGGGCTGTTGTGATGCTATACGGAACGGAAACATGGGAGGTGAAAAGTCCCTGCAGCAGTCTGACTATCACGGCATATGCTGAGGGGACTGTTTTCACCTGGTCCGAGAATACATCCGGGCTATTTGCTTAAATTAGATTTTGTCATTTTAGTCTTTATTTTATCTTGATTCTAATTTTAATTTGCGTTTTCTGTATCCCCTCACTGGCAACCAACATAGGGGTTAGAAATGTACACCAAATATTAGCATAGCTTGGTGGGCTCTATTGTTTTGTTTTTCTATGACATGTCTATAACACTTTATCTTGCTTAACAATATGTATTGCAGTCATGCACACCAGAAATAAAGAATTACAAAAAAAATAAAAAATCACCAAAAAACATGACAACAGCATCAGAACCCCACAAAAATTATCTTCCCGAATAGCTCCAACAGCGCACAACATATCCAAAAAAGTGCTCAGATCGTTTCAGTAACACTAAAGTTATGTTCGTGCAGATATGAACTGGCTGCCTGGTAGAGGTGGTCAATTTCAAAAGGGGTTAATTGGATTGTATGGGAGGTCAGAGCTTACAACCTAAATTCCTCTTTGAAGCTGGGATCCCAGCAGAGCTACTCTGTAAGGTGTGAAAAGTCACACATAAGTGGCCTGGAAGTCTGGTTTCAGTATAAACTAACTCTCTCATTTGCCATATGTCTTGATTCCCTCTTAGATAAGGAATCATTTGATATGAACAAGCCTTGTGTTCCAATATTACACCCAAAAGAGACTTTAATGCCTATCCACAGATTAATCTTCAAGCTACATTTTTATCATATTTAGAATGGGACAAGCACAATCTTCCAACCAAGCCTAAACATGAATTGCGAACAAGGGAACCCCACAGAATCTGTTCGGTAACCGAACAGAAGGGAACAATTCCATTCGAATGCAGGGAAACATTAGACAATACAAAGTATAATTAAGGGAACACGTACGAGGTGTCCCATCTCCCGTGACAGTGCACATTCAGTTTGTTGTGATAATACACTTTTGCATTGGATTTCATCTAGTGTCTGTGGTTTAGTTCCCTCCCTTGGTTATTGCTGGGTTATTCCCCATTGTTGTGCTGCTATGGATGTGGCCAAGAAAATAGAAAATGTATTCATACTTAACATAATTTTATTTTCCTGGTCATAAGCCATGGCAGCACAAAGATCCCACCTGGATTTATTGTTGGTTACAAGACTGATGGAGGAAGGGGTGGGAGGGGGCATTTATACCCTTCTTTGAATTAAAAGTTCCTGTCTAATTCTGGATAATAGGAGCTACCCATTGTCGTGCTGCCATGGATTATGACCAGATAAAGAAAATGATGGTAAGTATGAATACATTTTCTCTTTTTTGCTGACCTTTTTCAGAAATTCTGCCCTTGTTATTCCTATTCCCTGAGACTCCTGTGCAGCACTTCCTGGACAATAACAGAACTATAATATCAAATCATTACATAATTAACCCTTCACCAATGTAAGGATGTTTCATGCCGTTCTCCAGAGAGTGGGCTATAAGAATATTAGGACAGCATGAACTGCCCTAATGTTTTGGTGTGAGCAAAGTTAAATCCCTGCTCACACCAGAGAGACCAAGAAATCAGTTGATATCGGTCAGCTGGGGCCATATTTAGTGGTTCCAGATTGACAGATGAACTGTATGCCACTGTGAAATTGAGTGCTTCATACATCCCTTTAAATGGCATTTAAATACCCGTAGCTGAGCAGTGATTCTGAGCCAGTCTGCCAAGAGAGACAGACCTCCAGGGTCTGAACTGCATGCACCCCTGTCAATTGTGATTGGTGCTGGGCTTTGCTAACTGACCCATCACAATTTGATCAGCAAGCACAGCATGCCGGGCTACAGCATGAGAGGGAGATCTCTCTCACATGCCACAAACAACCAGTAGATGGTCATCAGAGACAGCTCTCTACTGTTTTAGCTAGGTTTAGGGGTAAGGTTAGGGTTAAAGTTGGTATTAGATGATGGCAAGGGTTAATGCTGTTTTAATGTTAAGAATTTGAGGGATTTCTTGTTTTCAGCTTTTTACATTTTATTCATACGTTGTGTTAGGTACACATATAATTTTTTATTTTTTTTTAAAGAAAACATTTCTTTCTTTTAGATAACAATCTATAATATGTGTGGATGCACTTTAAGACAAACCTTTATATTACTTTGGAACAAACACGTATTCTAGATTTTGTCTTAGTTCAGGAGTTTGCCTTTGTTCTTAAAAAGGATAAATAAACAATAGTATGATCTATATCTGTTCAAAAAAGGGACAGTGATATGCCTGTCAAAATGTCTCTGGTGGCTAATGCACGGAATACCCAGCCAAACATAGAACAACCCTTTGGAACAACCCTGATTAATTTATTTCTACAGCAAAAACAATTTCATTTCACATAAAGCAAAGTTGTGTTTGTATACAATGGCCAAGAGTATGGTGGAATTAGGTATTTAGGTAAACTAATGATTTTTCAATCTTCCTTTGTGTATTGTTCCTAATCTCATGTACTTAAGATCAATTTTATAACAATTACGGGAATAGCAACAGTCAAGAGGCAAAAGAACATAAGACAAATGTCTCAAATTAGCCTTTATTTGATGCAAAAACCACATCAGTCTACATCGATAAAAATGACATTGAAAACATTTTGAAGGTGGTTTATCTATAACATTCATAAAAATGCTAAAAATGCCCGTGCGATGTCTTTTTAAAAAAACATTGTATTTATTTTTTTTAAACAATTTAAACCCTTTAGGTATCTTACCTCGCTTCTGCCAAAGAGAAATGCGTTGGTTTGCTTGATCTTTTGTGGCAGTGGAGGGGTTTAGCTATTTACAAACTCAGATTATCAGAAACAAACAATAAAAAATATGCTTTTCTTTAGAAATGAAATGAACACACCAGGCATGTGACAATTGGACTGGGAATGTTGACAGAATGGAATGCTCAAAGGGCAAACATGTATTTACATTTACAGACAGAAAAAGTTGTAAGTACGTCTCCCTTACCTACCCCAAAGAAAAATGAATAATTTACATGTAACATGTTGTGGGCGAGGCATAAGACAAATGTAGGTGGGGCATATGCACAAAGAGGGTGGGACTAACATTCATTCACACTCAATTCTCATTCAGTGCCCTTTAAAAATGAGCTCTCTTGAGCAATGAGCCTTATATATAATCTGTTTCCGTACATACAGTACATTGTGTTGTTCATCCTCTAAATTTGGAAATTGAAGAAAACAGACAAGGAAATGTAAAATTTTATTGAAACATTCTCTGGTTCAACTTTTCTTTCAGCCCAGCTATATTAATATACATTTTTAAATTGCCATCTCAGTTCCAAACAATTCCTTGTGTCCATTTGCCTGTGTTCACATCAGTGAATTTTCTGCAGAGGCACACACTTTAAGATCATTAAGTTTGGGTGTGAAAAAGGGAGAGAATTAGCTCATAGGCTCGTAACATAAACATTGTGAAACATTTTACAATCCATGAATTAGTCACATTTCTAAACTGTGATAATAATTAGCAATTGGAAGGTACTTTATATTTGCACATGGCAATCTGAGAAGTTTGAATAACGTGATGTAAAAAAAATTAAGAAAATAAAGAAACATAGCATCTAATAGATTATATATTTTGCTGCATTTTTACTGCATGCTCAGGAAAGATGAGTTAAAAGCTGGCGTTGGTGGTATATATTTTTTAGCACAAGTGGAAATAGAACAAGCTCAGAGAAACTCAATTAGTAGGTAGGTGTAGATTTTAAAGGAACACTCCAAGTGCCAAAACCACTATATCTATCAATGTTGACATTTGTCCTGGAGCATGCCTCTAGCGGTTGTCCAATTGACAGCTACTAAATGCACTTCCTCTTTAAGATCGTAAATTTTTTAAGGTCTTTACATTCAGCATCGTCACACACAGCATGATAATGCTGAAAATGTCCAATGCTCCTCAAAGAATTTGAGTGATTTTAATTTTTTTTCTCAATTAGATTGTTTCTACAAAGCGGCTCTGTCACTTTCGGGGGTCTTTGCATGTTTTGCAAAGACTCCCAAAGGTGACATTTCCACCTGGGTGCAGCAGTGATAATTTATACCTACCTGAAGCTGTGCCCATGTGGACACCACTATCTTCTTTCTTCAGATCCTGGAGCTTCATTTGCCAGCAGCCCATGCTCCTGGTCATGAGTCATGAGCAAGCGCAAGGTCACAACACTGATGTCTATGGAGAATCCCACAAAACCGCTGGAGCTTCCATAGATATTGTGTCAGCAATGCCTGATTCTCACAGCTGTTACTATTGATGGCTGACAAAAATTAGGATTTCTTTTGACTGTGATGGATATTCAAAGAAATTCTAATGGAGTCTTTAAGAGCATTTAATAAATATTGTATCTTTATTTAATACTCATATATATTTAGTTTTTCATGTCTCTACCTGTCCTATCTGTGACATGGTAATCTCATATTGACTCTAATACAGCAATGGCCAAAAGGTAGATCCCCAGCTGTTTTTAACTTTATCCCCCATGATGCTTTACCAACTTTAAAATAGACTAAACATTATAGGAGTTATAAATCCACAATAGCTGGAGATTGAACATGTGGCCACTCCAGTTCAGAAATCTAATCAGTTCTTTGATGATGGGAGATATATAGATTTTATGTATGTGATGAACATCTTCCTTAGAATACTAGGACTCTTAAAAAAAGTACTTTTTTTTTTTTATAAATACATAATTTCAATAAAACAATTATTTCTTTATCTATAGGGATATGGTGTATACTATGATACAAAAATGTGATTTTCTATGATTTAGTGCCTTTATTCTGGGTTTTTTTTGGTGACCAATATACGACAAATGAACAGGTTTATAAAATTCAATACACAGATCAACTTACTCTAAAATATTCTAAATGCCAACAATGGGCATGAATGTGATATATTTTTTTTTATCAGTAAGTATGTTATGGTTTTTGCTTGAAACATTGCTCAATGGGGATTTTAAGTCTATGTATGTCTTTCTGTATTGTGCTCTGTGTGGAGTTCTAGAATGTGTTAAATGTTAAATTGCTCGAAGAGAAAGGATAGAATACTGCTTTGTGGGGAATTCTAGAATGTTGTCCCAAATAGAACTCTGGAATACTGTTAGCAATTATTAAAACAATTCTAATTCAAGCATAACACTCTGCTGGGTGTTACTGAAATTCCAAACTCTTACTGTGAGTAAAGTTGTAAAAAGCTGCTCTGTGTGGATTTCTAGAATACTGTGCTGGACATTTTTGAGTGACACTGATTGTTAGGATTCTAAAATGGTGAATTCCAACATACCACTGTGTGGAATAACAGAAAGCTCCTTTAAACCAAATTCTAGAAAACGACTTTGAACAGGAATGGAAAATACTGCTCTGAATTCTAGAATCAGATGTTTACATCTTTAGAACGCTGTTCTAATTAGAATTCTAGAATGCTCACAGACCAATCCATTTCCATGAGTTAAATGCACCTGTGTAAACATTCTAGTGTAGGGATAGGCAACCTTCGGCACTACAGATATTGTGGACTACATCCCCCTTTATGCTCTTACACCCATAATGCTGGCAAAGCATCATGGGAGGTGTAGTCCAAAACATCTGGAGTGCCGAAGGTTGCCCATGCCTGTTCTAGTGTATTGCTCAGAGGGTAATTCTCAAGTAAAATCTCTAAATGTTATTCTCTAGAACATTTATGGAGTCAACACTGTGTTGACTATTGATGCTCTAATGTGATGTTGCACTACCGTCCTTTATTACCTTGATTTAATGAAAAAGCTATTCTAGCATGCTGTCTTGGAAAATATAAAATGATGCACAGAATATAAAATGTATACACCTTCGCACTATTCTCTTTCTAAGAGCATCACACTTTTTTTCAAAGTTAGAAGCACAGCTCTGAGTGGAATTCTAGAATGCAGTGTTCACAACTGAGACATAGCACAAATGTATACTTATCTAGTAGCTCGCTCATTTATGCATTCCATAATCCGTACTTATACATGCTTATATATTATAATCACAATAATGTAAACATTTCAGAGTAGATAATTACCAAATATAACATGATTGAACTTTAATAATTAAGCATGCATGGGTATCTACAGACAGGAGGGGACATCTGCCCCAATGAGTTTCATCTTTCGTCTCTATAAGATGCCTTGGCCGCATAGTCATCTATAGTGTCAATGGCAGAGTTATTACTATAATTTAGTTTGTTCTCCTCTTCCACTTGGTACCAACAACCCAATACATTGCCAATCAGTCTATATTTATTCTAGATGTTCAAATGTCTGTTAGATTAGGGGGTGCGGGAGAGGTTTGTTGTTGTTTAAATACATTTTGGGCGTTAAAAAAATGGTTCTTCACGGTGACATGTGTACCGTAAAACTAAACTGCCTGTATGTGATTTTAAAGATAATGCAGTAATTAGTATCAGGTTAAAGACAACCCCTTCTGCCAATGCATTATATGCAATCTTTTAGTTGAATATGGCTACTATTTAGTTAATGGTTTATTTTTACTCTGTAGTATATGTGTGCTATATATAGATTGTAAACCACTATAGGTGAGAATGGATTTAAATGGTTTCTACAAAAGACCATTTTGTTTAGAAATGTTTAAAACTGGAGGAATCTATATGTAGTATTGTATGCACATTCTCAACCACAATGTACTACCATGTACACTATGGTGTATAAGGTCTACTGAGTATGAGGACCACCAACTAGCAATTCTATTCCATGCTGTCCGAACAAGAAAGAGGATAACCTCCAAGAGTAATGTCCATGAAAGTAGTAAAGTATTTTTGGTGAGAGCTCCTTTCTATATGTGGACTATTTTAACAAGGTCGATCTTGATGGACCTTGTTTTTTTTCAACCTAGACAACTATGTAACACACCAACCATTTCTCTTACAATACACAATGACACTTTCTTCGAGTATTGAGTATTGAGTATATCTACTACATTCTAGAAATGGCATCCAATGAAGTCATGTACACATAGATACATCTGTTTAACATGCATAATTTACAATATTTATATATTATATTTATAGTGGAATCTTTGCCCTAAGTTTCATAATTTAGTCTCTGTGAGCTGTAAACAAAAACACAAGCAATAACATCGACACATATTACTCCTGATAAACTGGCAATAACGTGGTATCGTAGCTTGAGATTTGGCAAACTATTGGCCAGAGCCTCTAACATTTTACAGCTGACCCTAATATTTTTGAGATTATTTTTGTTATGATCTCTATAGTCATACCTTTTTCAAGGTTAGTGAAAACAATAACTGCAGCTCTTAAGTATATTTGGTTTCAGAACCCTACACAATTGGTACGTCAGGTGTCTATCATCTATACGTGGACTTCGCCCGGGATTATTAAGCTATTGCTCAAGTAAGCTAATTTGTTGGTTGAAGTCATAGCACAGTCAATGCAAATGCATCAGAGTAATAAATACTTTGCCTGAACATGGTACATTTTATCATTGGTTTACTAAGGAGAGAAATTACATGTCCCAAAGGTAAATAAGCAAATTAATTCAAACCAATGGTCACAATGTAACATATTTCTAGTGCGAGATTTACAATGAAAAATAAAACACTTTCTCTATATGTAGGGAGCGTAATATGCAAGACTTAATTTTTGATAGGAATTATGAAAGAGTAGGCCGGAGCTTTGTCAGTGCTGTTTCAAAACAGGAAAACACAATTATCAATCCTCTCTTAGTAAAGCAATCCTTGCACTGTGGTTCAATCTATGTTGCATGCTGTTATATGGATTTACCACTAGGTGGAGTGCCAGGTGAAAATTCAAAGCTGACTCCCTAAACAGGGTCATATTATAATACGATGTATTTATTGTGCCAACAGAGAAAGGCTAGATGTATTTCGGTTATTAGATTAACAGGTCCTTGATTTGATTTCCCTGACCTATGACAGGATATTTTCAACCATGTAACAGTTATCATATTAAGAACTCAGTGTTCTTGTCTTAACTATTTGTACAACACTGATGAATATGTTGGCACATTATTGATAATACTATGAGTCATTTTATCAATACTGAACGATTATAGGATTAATTTCAAGAGATTTTTCCCCCCCCCGTAATTCGACAGGCTTAATAAAATGAGCATGCCCTCTATCTTGTGACGTAAACTCCTGTATAGTAATAATGTTTTACTGCAGGTATATTATCATTACATTTTCACATTAACGCATCTAAAATTTCAAAATCCCCCGGTTTATAAGTCTGTAAAAATATTCTGTAAACTCTCAAAAACATTTGTATTCTGCTTTTAAAAATAGTTAAAACAATGAATTGTGGTGAACTAAAGATAGAGCTATGAAATTTAGGCTTAAATAGTCAAACTGTGATTATAGCTGAGTTTGCCAGTTGACCCACTTTGGCCTAAATGTAATAATTCTGTTTTCAATTCTTTGTGTTTTTAATAAACCTTTGAACAGGTTTCCCTGTGACATCCACGGGGCTAAAAGCATGACTGCAGAGCTATAACAGGTTACATGTCCACACTTAGGTTTGATTACGAGGTGAGGTACTAAAACATAATGCTGACATGAACATATTCTAGGTTACAGAGGTTTAACATGTTTTTTTTTAATCATATGACACAGTATTCGGTAATTAAAAATGTAAAAACAGTTCAGAGAAAAAAAGGCAAAAAAGTACTTGTCAGCGTAAATATTCACGTCACAGAATTCTGCATGAAACCGCAACACTGTAATTATAAGCAATTTTTTTTTGCACCTGTTCCCATATGTCTGTGTGCACGTGTGTGTGTGTGTCCACCCCCCACCCTGAAAAATACATAGGTTTTTCTTGATTTGTGGTACAAATTGATCTGACTAGTCATATTTACAATAGAAATTTGTTTTTGTTTTTTTGTGTGAACGATGTCCCTTAATATGAGCCATAATTGAACGCGTAGTTCTAGTTCTTAAATGCGTACATAAATATGTGTAACATATTCGGTTCTCTTAGAACTGCCCTTAACTAATCATATTAAAAGTTTTCACCACTCGCTGCTAACATCAGTTGTGTAGTCACTGAGTTCCACTTTCCAGGTTGACCACATGCTGGAAATGAGATCCCAGTAAAGTTGAGATGCGTCAAGGAAATAAAAAATGCGCCAAGACTCCTGCGTTATTCTTCTACTGTATGAGAATGCTGTTTTACGTACAAACTCAGTACATGATGAACGAACTGATATTGCTCATTTGTTTGAATCATTCCTCCCCTAAAAGAAAAATATAGGTTATTTCTCATAGAATTTAGCTATATTTTATTGAATGGATATCCCAATTTTAACTCCTTCACACCCAAATTCTTTCCATTAAAAAGAAATAAAAAAAATTATAAAATGTTATATTTTAAGAACTTGACAGGTCCAAGACTTTTATATAAACACTCCAATGGGAAAAAATATATATATATTCTTTTAACAATTTAGTAGAGACACTTCCAATGAAAACATGCATGCATTTATTGCGGTATGGGGGGGCAGTGTGTGTGAGGGGTACAGTGTGTATGGGGGGCAGTGTGTGTGTATAGGGGAGAATTATTGTAGGTCTGTGGGGTTCGAGGGTAGATTAATAAATAAATGGTGGTAATCGCGGCAACGCTCCAAGCTTGCGAGAGGAGAACCCGGCAGAGCTGCAGGTTAGAGCTCCCTCGGGTCCTCTCTCCCTCCCTCCCTGGGGAGAGCACAGTTCCCGGTGCTATCATCATATGATCACAGCACCGGTGAAATATTTTGTGGCTCCCCTGTGTGCCTGTCTTGGCGCCACGGCACACAGTTTGGCAACCTCTGTTTTAACAGATTGGAATTACTTCTGATTCTTATTCAAACAAATTAAATCAAGGCCATAGTGTTGTACAGAGGTAACTTAAAGAAACACTGTACTCTTCATCTAGATTTAATGTATCAATGTTTTAATGATCTTCAGTCTAATTAAATTTTGTCAGGGTGCATGTTTCACTTGTTTGTTAGAGCTTGGCATATTTAAGTTTGCATTTCCCGAAACTTCTCCAAATTCAGCTCATAGGTTGTGTCTCCATGCTTTTTAATCGCCAGTTTTACATAAATAAGGAAATTCCTTAAAACAAATAAAATGATAAACATTGAACATTATCTTACCTGTCTAATCTCAGCTGACTTGTGGTTCGTAAAATATCAACTATCCCCTCATTTCTCAGCTGCTTGCAAAGAATGCTGGTGGCAATAAAACAGCCAGTTCTTCCAATTCCCGCACTGAAAACAAGGTATACATCTAATTAATGCAATGTTATATGCTATACATTTAATATATATTTAAAGGAACACTATGGCGTTAGGATTACAAACATATATTGCTAACCCTGTAGTTTTCTACTCCCTAGATTAGATAGCCCACCTAAATATAAAAATTAAAAATAATGAAAAATAAAAAGGTTTACTCACCTTTTTTCTAGTGTCGAGACTCACATTAAGCAGCTGCCCACTCCACCTCAGGCAATAACGAGCCACAGGCAGTCTCCTCTTTGTCTGTTCGTCCAATCCAGTTTGTGTCATAGAAAAGGATTGGGTTTGACAACCACTCTCATCCAATCAAATGCTGCTTATAGGGAAGCATTGCATTCAATTATTAAAGGATGCATTTAAAGGGATACTATAGGTACCCAGACCACTTCATCTCATTGAAGTGGTCTTGGTACAGTGTCCCTGTCCCCTTAACCCTGCAATTGTAATTATTGTAGTTATTAATAAACTGCAATAATTAGCTTGCTGTATTAACTCCACCTCTAGTGGCTGTCTACCAGACAGCCTCTAGAGGCACTTCCGGGCCCTTAGTGGACATTTGGTATGTTCTGCATAAGGACATTCAGCGTCAGCTTAACACCCAAAAGAAAGTATTGATTTGGGAGGAAGGGTGGCACTATAGGGTATAATAGGGTATAATAGTGCTAGGAATGCAACTTTGTATTCCTTTCACTAGAGTCTTTAAAGGATGAACATACCTGTCTCTTGCGCTCTCTTAAAGGGCAGCACATTACTCTCTCCTCCAGCTCTGCTTCACTCCACCTTGTTTGATTGCTATTTCCTGTCCTAATGTGTTTTACACCCCACCTCCTATAGATTGTAAGCATGTTTGAGCAGGGTCCTCTTCAACCTATCGTTCCTGTAAGTTTACTTGGAATTGTCCTATTTATAGTTAAATCCCCCTCTCATAATATTGGAAAGCGCTACGGAATCTGTTGGTGCTGTATAAATGGCAGTAATAATAATAATAATAATAACAACATTAATGGATGTTCAATGTCCTCATGCAATATGTGAGGTCGTCGAACATCACATTACTGAGTCTGATTCAGTCGTCGCAGTGAAAGCACCCTCTAGTGGCTGTAAAGAAGATAGCCACCAAAGGTTTCTTTAGGTCTGATATAGAAAAATGTCTATATCTACTAAACTACAGGGCATCCAGACCTCTTCATTGAAATTAGTTCTCTTCATGCCTATAGTGGTCCTTTAATGTTTCCTACATGTGAATTTAAAACCTATTTTGCATTAAAGTAAAGAATGCTGGTAGCAATAAAATAGCCTGTTCTATCAAGTAACAATTACATTTTTAGTAACTACATATAGTTTAAAATGTGTGCTTTTAAGTATATTGTAAAGAAAGTGCAATAACTGAATTACCTGCAATGTACAACAATAGGGCCGTCAGTATGGTCTGCTTGTTGTATGGCCTCTTCCACATCTTGCACCAACTTTAACAGAGGTGGTGCCTGGTCTGGGGTCTTCTGGTCCGGCCATGACGTGTACCAGAAATGTTTCAGGGTTCTTTCTTCTTCATCGATCTGTCGTCCCAAATATAAAACCATCAAACTTATACTAGCTTCCTGTTCCATCAAATGTACATCAGATGTGTGAGTCTAATTGTCATTCTGACCGCTCTACTGCAGAGCAGCTTGAGAGCACAAGAGTTAATTAGCAAAATCAACCAAAAATAAATTAAAAAAACAATATGTACATTCCAACATTAATGGGATTTTACTTTATTCTTACCAAGAAAGCCTTCTATTTATAAATAGAGGTGGTAGGGAAACACCTGTTTTTATAAATTTTTTAGGTCACACTCAATAAGATTTAAGCAGAGCCAATACACCTTTGTTATGCTATTTGGGATTTTACTTTGTGCAAGCTAACTTTAGATGTGTGCTACAGTGCAAGTTTTGATTCAGGCAAATAATGTATACTTTACTCTATGGGAGTCACCAGCAAAAGTATAAGTCAAAGGTTTATACTTCATGAAAAAAGTTTTCTGTGTCTGTTCAACTCACAGGGCATTTCATATAAACAAACAAACAAACAAAACTGGAATCTTTCAGTGAACACTCTGATATAACAACATATATATTCACACTGATATTTAATGTTATACTTTAGATCAAGGGTAGTCAACCTTTTAATACCTACTGCTCACTTTTGTATCTTTGTTGACGGTAAAATCTCTTCACCACCCACCAGTGTCACAGTAACTAATTTTATAGCACAAGTGTGATATTTTTTAACATTTTTTTAGAAAGGAGGTTTAAAAAAAAATAAAAAAAAAATATGCCCTTACATTTATCTATTTCTTCACATTTTTTCCCCATTTTCAACTCTATTTTTTTTCTATGTGTGTCTGTGAGGTGCTGTTTGTGTGTGTGAGAGGTACAGTGTGTGTGATGGGAGCAGTGTGTATGTGAGGGGCAGTGTGTGTGAAGAGTGCAGTGTGTGGGTGAGTGGTGCAGTGTCTGCGAAGGGTGCTGTGTGTGTGTGTGAAGGGTGTTGTGTGTGTGTGTGAAGGGTGTTGTGTGTGTGTAAAGGGTGCTGTGTGTGAGTGGGCAGTGTGAGGGGGAATGTGTATGTGAAGGGGCAGTGTGTTTGGGCGGCAGTGTGTGTGTGTGTGTCAGGGAGGCAGTGTTTGTGTTTCTGTGTGAGGGGGCAGTGTGTGTGTGAAGGGTGTGTGTGAGGGGGCAGTGTGTTTGTGTGTGAAGGGTGCATAGGGTAGGGTTTATGCTGTGGGTAGATGAGTGAGATGTGAAAATCTATCTTAATGTCTCCCACTGCCTTCTTCTTACCTTTTACCAGGGAGGAGGGGACATAATGCTGCAAGCCCTGGTGGTCCAGTGTTGGCATGTTCACTTTAGCCTGCAGCTCCTCCGACTGCAGGCTGACTCTCCTGTCCTCCTGCGAGCACAGCACTGTATCGAAGCATTGCCATGGTAATGTTCGGCAATGCTCCGATCAGCCTGCTCGTGGGAGGAACACAGAGCCTCCCAGGCCCTTCCCTCCCTCTGCTGGAACTAAGTGCCAGCGGGCTAGTAAGGAACATCTTTGATCTCCTCACTAGCCCAAAAAGGCTTAAAGCAAGGCTGGCTCTGCATGGGCTGGTAGTGAAGATGAAAGAATCTTCCTTGCAGGTTAACCTCTTAACGCCGTTAGGGTGTTCTATGCCATCTGCATTATAATGGGCTTTAAAGCCGTTACAGTGGCATAGAACGCCTTAACGGCTTTAAGCCCCAGCGGTCAGCTCCTACTCACCACCACCGCAATCCTCTTCTGGGGGACTGCCTGACAGCCCAGGCAGTCCCACCTCGGCAATTTAGGCCCCAGGGGCCATGGGATCACTGAAAGAGTGACCACATGGAAGGCATAGCTGCCCATGCTGCTGCCTGCAGAGGGACTGCCTAAAACGGACAGGCAGTACACCTGATGGTGAAATAGTAAAAAAAAAAAAAGTTAATACAGCAATCAGGGGAATAAATAAATATGTATATATGATATATATATTATATATATTCCATATATTTATAATATATACATATCATATACATATATAACCCATAATAAGTGTATTTTCATATTGATAGTTAAATATATCAATATCAAAATACACTTTTTATGGAGTTACATATATGTATATATAAATATATATAACTACAATTAAAATAATAAATACATTAAATAAATTAAATAATAAAATATATATATATATATATATATATGCAATTTCATTCTAAAAGTATTTTGATATAAATATATATATTGTTATTAAAATACACTTAGAATGAAATAATATATATATATATATATATATATAAATAAAAATATATACATATAAATAGATATAATTACATAAATAATTACATAAATATACACGTAGGATTTAAACACATATATGTATATATATTAAAATTCTAAGTGTATATTTATGTAATTATTTAACATAATTAAGTCATCTTATTGATTATAATTTGAGGGACCAGTCTGACAACCCAGGCAGCAAGTCCAGGGAATTTAATTTGCAAGCCCTATGTTTATCCCTGTAACTTTCCAAAACACCATAAAACCTGGACATGAGGGGTATTATTGTACTTGGGAGACTTTGTTGAACACAAATATATGTGTTATAACACAGTAAAACCTATCACAACGATGATATCACCAGTAAAACCGCAGTTTTTGTGTAAAAAATGTGAAAAACAAACAAATATGAACGCTAACTTTGGCTACCGTTTTGGACTAAATGGCTAATAAAAAACACTGGACATACCCCATTTTGAATACCGTGGGTTGTCTACTTATTCAAATGGTATACCATGGTGGGGATAATTTTCATTTCTGGGCTGCCATACCATCTCAAAGGCAACATTTTCAATTTGCAAAAACAGAAACTGGCAAATCTTACATTTGACCCTTTAACTTTCCAAAACACCATAAAACCTGTACATGGGGAGTACTGTGGTATTCCTGAGATATTGCTGAAAACAAATATTTTACTGCAGTAAAATCTAACTTTATTATGACATTCACAGTAAAAATGTGATGTAGCACTTGAAAAATAACATATTTTCTTAAACTCTCATACTCTTTTAGATTTTATTCACATTCACTTATGTTTCATATATAAATATTTGATATGCAATGAAAGCCCTGTTTCCCCTGAACAAAATGATAAATAATAAGTGTGGGTGCACTTAATATGAAAGAGGCGAATTATGGTTGAACAACATATAGTGCAAATTCCAGGTTTTGTTAACGTATTGTTTTGATCACAACTTGTACAACTGGCTCCATCCTTAAGGGGTTAATGCCAGTTCTGTGAATGTCTGGCATCTGTCGTTAGCACACACTGCATGGTGGCAACAGACAGACAAGGGAGGCATGGCCCTCCCTCTATGCCACCTATGTTCTCCCCTCGGAATGAGTTTAAGCTATTTTATTATAGGACAGGAAAGGTTACTCAGAAGAAAACTAGTGTTTTCTAAAAACACTTTTTTTTTTTTTGAGTAATCCTTATATTTTCATGGCAGGGGTGCTTTAGCGATACTTAATGTACCACAAAACAATAAAGAGCTATAGTCTAGGTTATTGTCTCATACCTCCTCGGGTCATGACCACAAAATAGTTTAATGTATAATATTAATGGATTCCCCACTGACACATAACACTTTAATACATAACTCTTTACTACATTCTCAACTCTGCGACAAAACACTTTACTACATTCTCATACTCTAATACCTAACTCTTTACTACACTCTCATACTATGCTATGTAACACTTTACTACATTCTCATACTCTAATACATAACTATTTACTACATTCTCAAACTCTGCGACAAAACACTTTACTGCATTCTCCTACTCTACTACATAACTGTTTACTACATTCTCATACTCTGCGACAAAACACTTTACTACATTCTCATACTCTAATACCTAACTCTTTACTACACTCTCATACTATGCTATGTAACACTTTACTACATTCTCATACTCTAATACATAACTATTTACTACATTCTCAAACTCTGCGACAAAACACTTTACTGCATTCTCCTACTCTACTACATAACTGTTTACTACATTCTCATACTCTGCGACAAAACACTTTACTACATTCTCATACTCTAATACCCAACACTTTACTACATTCTCAAACTCTGCAACAAAACACTTTACTACATTCTCAAACTCTACTACATTCTCCTACTCTACTACATAACTGATTTCTACATTCTCATACTCTGCGACAAAACACTTTACTACATTCTCATACTCTAATACCCAACACTTTACTACATTCTCAAACTCTGCAACAAAACACTTTACTACATTCTCCTACTCTACTACATAACTATTTACTACATTCTCAAACTCTGCAACAAAACACTTTACTACATTCTCAAACTCTACTACATTCTCCTACTCTACTACATAACTCTTTACTACACTCTCATACTATGCTATGTAACACTTTACTACATTCTAATACTCTGCGACAAAACACTTTACTACATTCACATACTCTACTACTTAACACTTTACTACATTCTCATGCTCTACTACATAACTCTTTACTACATTCTCATACTCCACTACATAACACTTTACTACATTCTCATACTCTAATACATAACTGTTTACTACATTCTCATACTCTGCGACAAAACACTTTACTATATTCTAATACTCTACTACATAACTCTTTACTACTAAGCAGCTTGTCCATGCTCTAGTAATCTGTTGCATGGATTATTGTAACCGTCTCCTAATTGGTCTTCTCAGAAGCTGTACTGCTCTGTTACAGTCTGTAATAAATGCTGCCGCCAGACTGATTTTCCTCTCCAGTAACTTCTCTCACACCTCACCCCTCTGTCAGTCCTTACATTGGCTTCCTGTATCATATAGGAGTAAATTCAAAGTACCAATTTATACCTATAAAGCACTGAACAATTCTAGCCGCTCTTATACCTCCTCACTGATCCATAGGTATGCCCCTTTTCGGTCTTTCCGCTCTGCCCATGACCTTCTCCTGTTGGCTGCTTTCACCTGTCTGGCCAACCCACGCCTGCAGGACTTCTCGTGGGCGGCTCCCTTGCTATGGAATAGCTTGCGTACCGCCATCAGACTCTCCCCTAGTCTTCAATCGTTTAAGAAGTGCGCCTTAAAACCCATCTCTTCAAGAAAGTTGATAGCCTCCCAGAGTAACCACTACCTCCCATACCTGTCTCTTGCTCTCTCCTAAAAGGTGGCACTCTACTCTCTCCTCCAGCTCTGCTTTACTCCCACCTTATTTGATTGCTATCTCTTGTCCTAATGTGTTTTATACCCCACCTCATCTAGACCGTAGGCTTGTTTGAGCAGGGTGCTCTTCAACCTATTGTTCCTGTATGTTTTTGTAATTGTCTAATTTTTTGTTTAAATCTCACCCTTTTGTAATATTGTAAAGCACTATGGAATATGATGGTGCTATATAAATACCAGTAATAATAATACATTCTCATACTCTACTCTATTACCCTTTTCGACATTCCTTTCAAGAAAGCTGCCTAGGCGCTGGTTCAAACAGCCTTTATAGCCAGCAATGTTGGTTTGCATGAATCCAGCACCATCTAAATGTGTGCCTGCGCACAAGGGGAAATTACCCAACATTTTGGGCAGCAGCTGAACTGGAAAAATTGTCGGAGGAATCAGGGTTGCATCATCCAACAGGAAAGAGAAGGTGAGCTGGAAGGATGCAGGAAAGTGTCCAGAGTTCCTGATTGTAGATAATAAGCTGATCTCATGGACACATACATATAGTACTTCTTCAAAACTAACCTTTAATGTAATCAGTCTTAGTACATAGGCATCTTCCTGTATGATGTGGTTAACAGTGACGTGAATTCCATCATAGACAGATTCTTTTTCTGGCCAATATTCTGTACATTTCTAAAAGAAAACACAAGTCAGTAAAAATTGCTGCATTATTTTATATTTTCAGCACATTTTACCAATTATATATGATCACTGATCATGGATAGACTTCAGTTCTGGGTAAGGGATCAGAAATATATTTTTCACAAAAAAAAATACCATTTATTTAAAAGCCCAGGTCTGTGTATACCACACGAGAGCACAATAAACAGCAAAGCAAGACATCTGAGAAAGCACAGGAAAAAAACAGCTACTTTACAAAAGTCTTGGATTCAATTTATCATATTGGGGGTAGAAGGGGTTTGCAGGATCAATTCCAAGCATCCTTCCTAATTAGATAAAAGTACAATTAAATTGGCCAATAATAACATTTTCTAGATGTTGGGCAAAAATAACATCCCGAGGACTTGCTTGGAAACCAGAACAAACTGAATGTACCTTTCCTGGTTAATACTTTGTTATTATTATTAAGGCCAGTGTAGTTGAATGGAAAGCATAGCTGACATATAGAATATTTCTAGTTTGGCTACTTTAACCTTACATTTTAACTTTAGTGTATAACTAGAATTGGAAGGCTGGGGATACAACATGTAAAACTATGATCTATTATTTATCTTACTTTTTGTCTCTCTGCATCAGTTCTTTCATATGCTACCAAACAAATATATTTACTTGTCATTGTAAAATCTTTTAATTAACACAAACTGATTTCCCTTATATTGACTTTTATGTAATAAGCTTTTTAAATGATTCAGTGCAGTGACGAAAACTTTCCAAATTGTTTACCTACAAAAATTCCCATAGCCTTTAATGATGACTTCTGTAGATAAATGATTTGGAATAATATTTCTAACTGTATTGAATCATTCGGAAAACTTTTTTACTCAAGGCCTTTGTGCCCTTACTGTCTATAATTATATTATATAAAGTATTATGGAATTAATTATTCAGACATATTTCAAATAAAAGCAGCAAGCAAGACACAGTTGTCCTCTTTCTTCTTCGTAATTTTTTCATTTTGTATAGAACCATTTTCAGTATCAGAATAGATTCTAAAAAGTAAACTGTGAGAGACGAGGCATGAAGACATATATTGTTACTGTTTATGAAGTCGTTAATTAACTTTTTCTTTCAGCATCATATATCATTTTACACTCAAAAAGTTGTACTTTAATCATTTGTTTCCCCAATAAAAAAGTTTTGTTTAGTAACGTACTCCGATAAGTTGTTTACTGTAGCGTTACTTACCTGGTTGGGGTCTTCTGTGCAAGGAAAAGAAAAAAAGATACGATCCGCTTTTGCCTGATGCAAGGTGCATTCTCGCAGACCGCCCCTTAAAGGGGAAAATGCTGCTCGCAGTCAAAGAGTGTTTTTAAAGAGGAAATGAAAGCAACTGGACCCTAATTGGTCCACATCAGTCCTGCGCCCCCATTCACGTACAGTTTTGGGTCACATTCATGATGTGGAGCAATAACGAAGTACCACTTAACATTTAAACCCATCTATTTGCCTTGCCCTATTGTGGTTTCTGCTCTTTAGTGTGTTCCTTGATTCCTTGTGTAATATTCTGATATTGATCTTGGCTTTGTTTCTTACCATGCATTTACCTTTAACCTTTTTCTGTGTTGTTTGCCTGTTTGATTACAGTGTACCTGACTCTGGCTAGTTCTCATTCTCTCTGTCACCCTGACCTCGGCTTGTATCTTGACTGTGCCTTTATCTCTGTCTAATGTTGTGTCCGGCCATTCCAAGGCCCAGTTATACGTTATTTCCTTGTTTCGTCCATTGCTGTCATAAACCCTGTGGGTGGGGTTTTTTACCTTGTGACACCTACTCTTGCAATGTTTTATTCTTCACACCGATGGTTTCTCTACAGATCAGTATGCCGCGTGTAGCGGAACGCCAATAATAAATCCACGAATTCCGCTGGTTCAGGAAATAATCCACAGTCAAGCGCTGAAACAACAAGGCAATATCCCCAACCTCCCAGTAACCGGACGAGACACAGTTCTGAGAGTCAACTGAAATCCTTTAATTCGGCTGGAAAATTTATACAAGTCCCCATGCAAGGGGTTTCCTGAGTCCCTTCCCAGGGGCACTCCCAGAGGGGACTAACATGACAACATATTTCTCCCATCAGGCACTGCTGCACAAGAGGGATCCTCCTCCCAGAACACACCGTTAAGTGGATTATCCCCTCGTGCAGCAGAACCGACAATTTATACAAAAATCCATAACTGGGTTAATATACGGTGGATTTACATGAATGGACGTTCGGTAGATAGCTGGGGTCTGAGCGCATCATTCGTGAGATTACCGCTCAGATCCCAGCTAAAATAACCGAACGCCGCACGAAAAACACATTTCTTATAAAACATATAAAAAGGACCGATTGCTTTCAGGGAACAAAATCCCGAATGGCCCGAAACTCCCGAACGTCCTGGAAGCTCAGCGGTGTTCGTGCCGTCGAGTAGCCGTTTTTAGTACTATGCGCTCGACGACCTAACACCGCTGAGGGAACAAAGGATCCAAGATGGCCGACCGCCGCATGGTCAGTAGTCGAACGACGGCCACCCAGGAGAGCCTCTAATTACCGATTGCAACATTGTTGCAATCGGTTAACTAGCGCCACACGCCTCTAAGTGTGTGGGCTATTAGGGGTATTGCGTTCGGTTCACGAACGGCCCTCCAAAGTGCCGTTCGTGAAACGAAAGAAAACCCCCATACAAACCGCCATTTGCATTCGGCGGAAAAGGCAATTACAGGCAATGCAGAGAATACATAAAGCATACACATATAGAGTAAAGCGCATATCTCCCCAGACCTATAGGCAACCCTTAAAGGCATAGTCTCTAGTTATAGTCCAAGTGGCTAGGTTTGCCACACCGCATATGATATAACCATAAAATCTGCCGTTTATCTAGTGGTTTTTGTTGTTGTCCTAATTAATAAGCAGAGTAGCAAGCTAAAGAAAACGGATCAGATCCACTCTATAACACACAGCTACTTGGCTTAATCCTCTCATGAGATGTTTTTATTTTTTATTTAAAGGGATACTGTCTGCCGTTTAGTCTTGCATTTAAAATTATAGGTCTATATCTACCAAAGACAAACATTAAATACATAGGCTTTTCTGGAAGATATGTAAAATAAGTAGATTTGCCATCAGCAGTATTCTTACTTCATTGACTTCCTCTATGTTGGTGATCATCACAATAATAGGAGATCGTTGTTGCCAAATCATCTTCCAAAAATCAGTGACGGTGTTGACTGTAGGCCCCTGAGTTGCAATATACGTTTTTTCCACTTCTCCATAACCCTGGGACAGAGAGACAAATACAGTCAACAAGGATCAATGCAATGCTGGCCAACTTTGGATAAGCTCAAATGAGTTCATATTTTGAAAAATGATAAAAAAAAATTGTAAAATGAATTAAAAAATATTAAATAATTTGAAAAGTTTATTCACAAATATAAACGTGTTAGTAGAGTTAGTAAGGTTTAACGTACCCGTATGTAGTTGGCATTGATATAAGCACTAAGTGGATCATCTTCCTGACCAGGTGTCATAAGGCACACTCTGGTTTGTGGGTCTGCAAAATATAACAGAGAGAGAACATAAAATAAATTCTGCAATTTTAAACAACTTTTCCAAATGATCACAATCTGTTAGAAAACCGTTTCGAATAATTGATCTACAGAAGTAACCATTAAAATCTACGGGAATTGTTGTAGATAAATAATATGAAAATTTTTTCAAACAAATTGTGATCATTTGAAAATCTTATCCAAACATATTGCAATGACACAATTCTAAGTAAAAATGCACGTCTAATGTATGATGCAAGAATGAGTCTGATATTTTAGACACAATAAAACATTAAAGTCCATAATTCCTCCCATATATACAAAACAATAAAATATTATGTCTTGGCAATCATTTGTAACAAATCACGTTAACACACTTTCCCGCGTTTAATTCTTGAGAATCAACAAATAGCAATGAATCCAATGTGATTTATTGAATTACACAACTTTACATACAGTGAACAATATTTTGACCCTTACAGATCTTTTTTCAAGATTTTGAAACCAGAGAGGGTCAAAACATTGAACAAAATTAAGTAATATCTAACTAAGTTTGCAGAATACCCAGGAATAGCACAGAAAGCAAGAGTAGAACAATCATGCCAAAATAAACTACAATTTTATAATAGAAAATTGAAGTTTTTTCTTTTTAAAATCAATGACGTGAGTCTTACTTGGTAGTATTGTTTTGTATCTGTTTTTTCTTACTAAACCCAATATTTCGTATTCTTTTGGATCCACAAAATTCATTGGTATTTCCTAGGGAAAGAAAAAAAAGTGTTTTTATAACTTATGATGTTAATTGTTAAATTGTTAAACAAATTTACAAAAACATTCTATGGTCATAATTTTGTGGGAAAAGAAACAGTTTACAAAAAGTTTCTGTTTCATGGGGGAAGCACAAGGCTTCCTTCGAATTCGGAGATTCATCATTCAGATATTATGAGGTCTATTTGTCAAACAGAGAGCTGACAGCCAACTTTTAAAGTGTAGTCCAAGTAGGTAGAATTTAAAAGATCTTTTCAAAAGATTATTGATGGTAAAAAATGTGGATTGATGGATAGGGAATAATCACAAAATTTTGATTTTATCAAGTGAGAAGTGAGCAATACAAGGTATAAAGGAGGAGCCGTAGAAAATCTATATTTGAATATTATATATTTAATAAATGTATATATTGTTTTTACTGCTCTTCCCATTTTTTCCTTTATTAGTTACTTTTTTCACTTCGTCTGTGAATCAAATGACTTGAAATTGCTCCTTGACATGTATTGCAAAATATATACATAATATTATATTATGTACCTATTTTGTAGCACTCGGATTGGCTCATTTATGCAATTTGTTCTTCGATTCCGAAACTCTGCTGAAGTGAACTATGATTTGGCCAAAATTCAAGTGTCCCGAAAAATATTCTATTTTCAGGAAAACAGTTTGGCAGAGCCAAATTTTCTCAATGTGCTCAAGTCTGGAAGCACTTATCAACTTCTAGTAAAAACAAAAAGGCAGAGCCTAATACTATAAAAAAAAAAAAAAAAACTAAACAAAACTCACAAAAAATTCCTTCTGGAGAGCGAATGAATCCAGAGCTCTCTCATGCAATTCCTCCTCTGTTAGGACATTGCTTGCTGTTTCAAGGTATTCCCGGGCTGATTGCTCTCTGGGAGACATGATGTGAGCGTAGGGTTCTGTGCATCCAGGGGTACACATATCTAGGGTCAAGGAGACATTGGACCCACGTCTGTACGATAAAAAAGAATATAGACATATCCAAAGTAGATTAATCCTTTCATTCATTTCAACTGGCCCTATTTTTTTAGTATTCGTTATCATAAATTTGCAACAAATATTTTCAGATGACTTATGTATACAAATTACCCCAAATGTTTCTCGCTTCTTCTCATCCTCTGTAATCTCGGTCTACAAGATACCGCTCTCTCCTGGTTCTCCTCTACCTCTCCCAGTACTCTTTTAGTGTTTCTTTTCTGGCTCTGCCTCCTCTCCCCAATCCCTCTCTGTTGGTGTTACCCAAGGTTCTATTCATGGTCCCCTATTGTTCTCAATCTACTCTGCCTTCCTTGGTAAACTCTTTGGCTCCTTCGACTTTCAGTATAATTTTTATGCAGATGACACACAAATCTACCTGTCCTCCCCTGATTTCTCACCACCCCTCTTGACTTGTGTCTTAGACTGCCTCTCTGCTTTATCCAACTGGATGGTTGCTCATTTCCTTAAACTTAACCTGTCCAAAACAGAACTTCTGGTCTTTCATTCCTCAAGCGTTGCTACTCCCTTGACTGTTTCCCTCCAAGTCAATGGTGCTACCATCCGTTCTACCTCGCAGGCTCGCTGCCTAGGTGTTCTCTTTCACTCTGACCTCTCCTTCACCCCTCATGTCCAATCAATTGCCAAATCCTGCCACTTCCATCTCAAAAACGCAGTGCGCATCCATTTCTATTTAACGCCTGATGTGGCTAAGGTGCTTGTCCATGCTGCTGTCCTCTCTCACCATGACTACTGTAATCCACTTCTCAGTGGTCTTACATGTTCACAACTTCCCCCGTTACAGTCTATAATGAATGCGGTGGCAAGGCTCATCTTCCTGTCCACCCGCACCTCCCACGCCTCCCCCCTCTGTCAGTCCCTACATAGGGCTCAATTTGAGATCCTGGTATTTGCTTACAAATCTCTACACAATGCTGCTCCAATCTACCTGTAGCGGACCCCGGGCAAACCAACTGGTTACCTCCGCTAACTCCTCCTCTCAGCCAGACAAGAACCATTAAATATACAAGCATCCATTCCCCCAGTAACAAGACGAAATATAGTTCTGGGAGCCAACTGATTTTATTCAGACGGCTTTTATGCACAGACTCCTAACATGGGGTCTCCAATACAACATTGCAGAGTTTTCCTTCTTAGGGTTTTTTGTGCCTGAGAGATAATTGCGTGAGAAAAAACTATAATTCAATTATCTCTCACGTACAAAAAACCTATACAAAATATACAGTACCCCAAAAGTACCCCCATCATAACTAGGAACCCCACAACAGTTATATCCCGGATATCTCTGATCTGAGTGTATAATCTGGCCAAGTATCACTTGGTAGAATTGGATTTCCACCGTAGTAAAGTTTTGACCGGCTGGACAGGAGGGAACAGCCCAAAACAGTTCCAGGGAAATAGGTGCCCTGGCTGGTCTCTGTTCTGGGGTTCTTGTGCGAAAACCAGGCAAGAGAATTTCTTGATTTCAGTGAACAAATGCTCCCCCCTGTTGGTAGTTTCCATCTCCCGAACGTCGTTCGCACAGTTGGTTGGGAAATAGAACGGGTAGCGTGCAAGTACCAAGTCGAAAAGAGTTCCAGGCACTCAATGACCAAGTGCCGCTGCCCATGTTCGGGAGACAAAATGCTGCCACTGTTCTGCCAACCACATGCATTTGGTTTTAAGAAATGGGGCCACCCAGGAGAAACAATCATTTATTACTTCCCCTGCATTTTCGCACTTAATTTACAAGGTGAGAACGTTCTAATGGAGTACCAGGGTGTCCTCGTTCCTTCTCCTCCTCCTACTCCTCGTTTGGGAGTAGAATGTAAAGTATTCGGATACCATAACTCCCGAACGGATAAAAGATAAAATATGCAAAATTAGTGGTATGTTCCGCCACACTACCTATCCTCCCTAATACACAAATATGTCCTGTCTAGGCCCATATACTCTGCCGAAGACCTACGTCTAACCTCTGTTCGTACTCCTACCTGTGATGCTCACCTAAAAGAATTCTCTAGGGCTGCACCATTCCTATGGAACGCCCTTCCCCTCTCTGTTAGACTTCAAACTTCTCTACTCCTTCAAAAAAAAATCTTTGAAAACTTACTTCTTCAGGAAAGCGTATCAATTAAACTGTGAACAGCTTTCTCTCCCCACACCATGATTCCTCTCCTGCAACTGTCATAAAAAAAAACCACTAAGCCCTCAGTGAAAACTATCCTACAACCTACTTTTCTACCCTACCCTTACCTTTTGTGTCACTATACCCCACTTTTCCTGTGTGTCGAACTCGTCTGGTTACAAATACGTGTCTGTTAGTCCACCCATTTTACAGCGCTGCGGAATTTGTTGGTGCTTTATAAATAATAATAATAATATGGGGACCCATGTATCATCATGTAAAAGAAGTGGCATGACTTGTTTATAAAATTATGACCAGTGAACCAGTTGTACTAGCGTAGAAAAATTATCTAAATATTGTTAAGTAGGAAGCCTTAATCTGGATATATTTATTTTTGGAGATTGTTTGTTAATACTTTCATGTCTATATGTTAGTCTTGTACTTTTCTATATATAAAGTAATGGTTTCAGTACTCATTTGCTATGTTAATATTGAGGCGCAAATTCTTTTGCTATTGATTTTCATGGTGGGTTTTACATGAAAAGTGCTTAACTACAATTTTTTTTTTACCATGAATATTTCCAGACATCAAGTCACCACAAACACCACAGTGCACTACCCATATCAGGAGTGCCCTGCCAAATCGTATGAGCCCTCACTCGGATTTCCAAACGACCAGGAGCTCTGGGTACAGCACTGAGGCCTATGAGCTTTGAAGCTGGGGAGAGGCCGCCACTCTCCCCGCTCTCCCCACTCTCCCCGCTCTCCCCACTCTCCCCGCTCTCCTGCTAGCTGTGTGATATCTCGAACCTCCTCCCCCCTTTGGACCGGCGGGGGTTATCCCTGTCCCCACTTAACTGTTGCATATAACTAAAGTAGTCCCTCAATCCCTCGGTCTGTGAGATCTGTGGCACACAACTCGTGACAGGCACTCGTGGCTGCCACCTCACTTGAAGCGCAGGGCCTGCATTTGTCGCATCAGAACTCCTTGGATCGCATCTTGCTGAGACTAGATGAGGTGCTCCAAGACTTCTGGCTGAAGTTTCAAAATCATGCACAAGCTATTCTGTATCAGCCGCTGGAAGGAACCATGGAAAGCATGACAGAGGGAGAGAGTTGGGTCTCTACGGATGCCTGTACGGGGAAGGGACTTACTCACCCTGTTGTCTGCATGCCTAAGCTGAGAATCTCCTGAGGCACTGCCCCAATGTATCAGCCATGCAGGCGGAGGATCACCTGCCGTAAACGGCATCCCTCACTTCAAGCCTCTACTAGTCCCAGACAGGGGATGGACTCAGACCCAGGGAACACCCAGGCTCCAGTGCTGCCGACTTCCACACAGGCATGGGACTCGTGAAGAGCCCTTACCAGCAGTGCTTTCTCGGATTTACCCATGGAATACCCTCAAATTGCGACACCTCAACATTACCTCCATGCAGGTGCCAGTCACATCCCAGCAATGGGAATCGGGTGATGGTGACTCTTGTTAGCTATGGGCCCACTGTTGTTATTATTTTCGACATGCTGGCTTATTTTATGTTAGTTCTTTCATACGAGGCATTATTGCTAGGATGCTCAGTCACAGTGGAATCTGTACAATATCACTATTGGTTAAAGCTGGCTGAGAAACCTTACTACCAAGCTAGATATGTTTTAACCCAGTGATTATACCAATGCCTTTCAATTATGGAGTAATCAATACTCCATAAGTTAAGTCTGCCACAGCTACTGTTCTGCCTGCCTACTAGACTAACTTGCTAGATGCTTATTTTGTGTATTTTACTTAACTAAACATTGTGCCGTTATTGAATGCCATGATATTGTTTACTCTGTATTTTTTCATTAGCTTTTACCTGCTGTTTTGGCAACACACGCCTGTTTGTAACTCTAAGCACGGCAAAAATAAAGAATGACAAAAATAAAAATAATGTCTGAATATGGACATAAGATGTGCATACAGTAAGTACAGTTAAACGAGACATCTGAACAATACAATGCGTTGCAGGCTAATCTCGCTGTCAATGTGCTCACTGTGTTCAGAGCTTTCCCCCACACTCCTTCTTGGAATGCAGAATTTTGAGCTACAAAAGTAGCTGAGTGTTAGATAGGAATAAAAAAAATGCTATCTATAGTTTCTCTACAGAGAAACAACAGTACACAATTGCAGAACAATTTGCTCCTCTGCAGAGCTAAAATAACAGTTGGACTTTATGAGCTAAATTTAATTTTGCTTTGCAATGACATGTGCAAACTTTATTATTGACATATATTATTTATTACTGGCATTTATAAAGCACCAACATATTCCGCACATAACATACAATGTACACAGACAAATACAAAAGGTAAAGAGTGATCTAGCCACTAGATAACCCAGGAGCTTAGTCTAAAGGATATAATGCCGTTTTGGACAGAAGGTAGCAGGGGGAATTTGGAAGTGATGGCTGAAAGAAGTTAACAGAGAGGGTGGTTGCGTCTATACATCTATACATTTGCTGTCATGTTCTATTGCACAGTAAGTAGATCACATTCTATTTTTTATACCTGATGCAGTATTAAAAGGAATTGCATGAGAATTTTAGGAATCAACCCCCTTTCAAAATAGACTGAAGGTGACAGTAAGGAGATGACTAAAGAATAAAGGACAATAACGATCAAGAAAATAATTTTCAGTTTAGTGCAGAAAGCCAAGTATGGGAACATGCAAGATTTTTTCAAAGGATTTTTTTCTGTGAGCGTTGAACTGCACGTCAAAGTAACTTACCTCTCCTGCAACCCCACGGGTTTGACAGACAGGGTCCCTAAATCGGTATCCCCTCTGATATCCATTAAGCAGTCAAAAACAGGAGTGTCTGGAACTGGATCAAAGTCTAAAAACTCCTCTGTTTTGTCGTCGGTCCATTCAGAGTACGTGAAAGATGGTTGGCGGCTCACTGACTGGCGGCGATCCTCAGAGAGGACTGGCTCACTGTGGGATCTCAGATACCATATCTACAATTAAAAGTTAAAAACTGAAACCCAATGTTGACCTTGTCTGGCAGAGGAAAAACCTGCTTTTGGACTTTGGACAGAACAGGAAAGATCTACGCTCCACAACAACAACAACACGAGCGTTCGTGCATGCATCAAACAGACATACACTCACATTCCCATTGTTAGCTTCTCTTTAGCCTTGTAGGAAGACATGTGTTTAATTTAACGTGGCTGACTGCAAGCCTCATCTAGAACACAGTGGAAGCATTCAGTTCTTGTTGTTTTTCACACTACTGGGTAACGTGAAATCCTTTTGTTGTAGGTAAAATAATCGCAGAGTAGATAATAATTAAAAAAAAAATCAAATGTGTTTGATAAAAGCTGACTTGTATGATTCTACCTCTCTGCTTCCACAACACAAGGTATTTTAATTGAATCTATTTGCTAATTCATTTTATAATTGGGAAAAAAATAAATAAACAAAATAAACAAAACAACAAAATGCCAATTGACAACACGCTTTCTTTTAATTTTTTTTTGTAAAGCTGGCGTATAAGCACTATTAAGATTTGAAATCATTGTTTAGTGAATGAGTGAGTGCGCTGGATCTTAGAAACATAGAAACATAGAATGTGACGGCAGATAAGAACCATTCGGCCCATCTAGTCTGCCCAATTTTCTAAATACTTTTATTAGTCCCTAGCCTTATCTTATAGTTAGGATAGCCTTATGCCTATCCCACGCATGCTTAAACTCCTTTACTGTGTTAACCTCTACCACTTCAACTGGAAGGCTATTCCATGCATCCACTACCCTCTCAGTAAAGTAATACTTCCTGATATTCTTTTTAAACCTTTGCCCCTCTAATTTAAGACTATGTCCTCTTGTTGTGGTAGTTTTTCTTCTTTTAAATATAGTCTCCTCCTTTACTGTGTTGATTCCCTTTATGTATTTAAATGTTTCTATCATATCCCCCCTGTCTCGTCTTTCCTCCAAGCTATACATGTTAAGATCCTTTAACCTTTCCTGGTAAGTTTTATCCTGCAATCCATGAACCAGTTTAGTAGCCCTTCTCTGAACCCTCTCAGTAAAGTAATACTTCCTGATATTATTTTTAAACCTTTGTCCCTCTAATTTAAGACTATGTCCTCTTGTTGTGGTAGTTTTTCTTCTTTTAAATATAGTCTCCTTCTTTACTGTGTTGATTCCCTTTATATATTTAAATGTTTCTATCATATCCCCCCTGTCTCGTCTTTCCTCCAAGCTATACATGTTAAGATCCTTTAACCTTTCCTGGAAAGTTTTATCCTTCAATCCATGAACCAGTTTAGTAGCCCTTCTCTGAACCCTCTCTAAAGTATCAATATCGTTCTGGAGATACGGTCTCCAGTACTGTGTACAATACTCCAAGTGAGGTCTCACCAGTGTTCTGTACAATGGCATGGGCACTTCCCTCTTTCTACTGCTAATACCTCCCTATACAACCAAGCATTCTGCTAGCATTTCCTGCTGCTCTATTACATTGTCTGCCTACCTTTAAGTCATCAGAAATAATCACCCCTAAATCCCTTTCCTCAGATGTTGAGGCTAGGACTCTATCAAATATTCTGTACTCTGCCCTTGGGTTTTTACGTCCAAGATGCATTATCTTGCACTTATCCACATTAAATGTCAGTTGCCACAATTCTGACCATTTTTCTAGTTTACCTAAATCATTTGGCTTATCCCTCCTGGAACATCAACCCTGTTACATATATTGTGTATTATTTATCTGTGAATTGAAATACATCTCAGGCTTTTTTACTATAGTGAGATCAGTGGGGAATTCAAAGTGAATTCAAAATGAATTTAAAATTTAACGCCACAGTAGACTAAGTAGCTGAACTGTAAGAATAACTGTAACAATTTGGCTACTTTTGCTTTAAGTTTGAAATTAGTTTAGAATTTCAGATAATCCCCACTTTGGTAAATAACCACGTAGCCCTATATTGTTTTCGAAAGATTTTGGGAGACTTTGTTGTTGCAAGTGAAAGTAAAGTTTGAAAATGTCACTGCGTCAGCTTACCATGGAGCCAATAAGAGCAACGGCAAAGAAAAGGATCACCAAAAATATACCGGGCATCTCAATTTTCCATAATCCGCTTTGCAGTGTCGTCAGGTCCTGTAAAAGAAATTTGATAGATGTATTGAGCAGAATCATGTTAAACACATTGTCCATGTCACTTCCACTAAGTAATGCTGAGTCAGAAGCAAAGAAATTGATAACAGGGCAGGATCTGGCTCTTCAGCGATGGACCAGACTTCTCTAACCCATTGCAGACAGAGAATTGATAGAGAACCTATCCGTTACCTGTCTGTCTGTCTATATGTCTTTCTGTCTATCTATATGCCTGTCTATCAATTGTCTGTCTGGTTGTCTATGTGTCTGTCTGTCTATATGTCTGTCTGTCTATCATTTGTCTGTCTGTCTGTCTATATGTCTGTCTATCAATTATCTGTCTGTCTGGTTGTCTATGTGTCTGTCTGTCTGTCTATATGTTTGTCTATCATTTGTCTGTCTATATGTCTGTCTATCAATTGTCTGTCTGTATTTGTGTATATCTAAATGTCTGTCTGTCTATTGTCTGTCCGTCAGTCTGTCTGTTGTCTATCTGTCCATTGACTGTCTGTCTGGTTGCCTATGTGTCTGTCTGTCTATATGTCTGTCTATCATTTGTCTGTCTGTCTATCAATTGTCTGTCTGTCTGTATTTGTGTATATCTATCTGTCTTTCTGTCTGTTGTCTGTCCATCAGTCTGTCCATTGTCTGTCCGTCTTTCTGTCTGTGTGTCTGTCCATCTTTTTTATGTGCAAGAATAGGACAAACCAGATAAATTGCAAGTAACTTGCTGTTATATACGCACAGATACGTATTACAAAACATTAACACCCAGAATATATAGATGTGAATGTATCACCATGGCCAGAATGTGACTCTCTCATTAAAAATGACATTCATAGAGTTTTATGACTCAAGGATTGATTTTATTTCAATCCTAGAATTTGGTTGGAGGCTCCATATGGTCTGTATATAAATCTCATTTAGACTCCCATCTGGAAAATTAGAAGGGCTTCACTATTGCATTACGGATGCTCTTTGTGTTTTCATGTCATATTGCTTCTCTTACACACTCGAAAAGGGAGTTATGCCATATCAAGGCTGTTTGGTATTAATAAGGCTTTATTGCTTGTGCTGAGATTTTTCCAGATTCAGCACGTCTAACTGTAATTTCACTATCTTGTACAAAGCCCATATAAACGTTGCATTGTTTGATTATGTGAATATTGTCATAGTAGAACGTACATGGTAAAGAATTTAGATTTTTCAATTATTTTTTCATAAGGCAGAAAGAGGTATATCTTTATCATTTTATTTATTTGGTAATTAATATCCCTTACACAAAGGTGTCTTACCTTACAGTATGTGGACAAAAATTAGGTCAAAACAACTGGTTTGCAAAAAAAATCCCTCAAACTCCAGTTCTCTTTTGGAGTTAAATTTCTAAATTGGTTCCACTAATTTCAGCTTACTGTTTGGTCAATAGAACCCATACGTAATTCTCAAACTGAGGATAACGCACTCACACTTAGGAATCCCGGTGCTTATCAGGACCATGGTTGGCAAAACCCAGTTTAGTAGATAAAATAAATTAGGTCCAGGAACTTGCTGTAGGGAGGCAGGTTTCTTGAAACAAAAAGTGCACCGTTTCGGCCTGTAGAGGCCTCTTTCAATTTTATCTATAGACCCCATAAGGACCTGAAGCCAATGGCCTACTATGTGTATCATCACAAGACAATCATAAACAAACCAGGTTTATTCAATAAGGTGAGAATTATTGGGAATGCAAAGTGAATTCAAAGTGGTTTTCACATTTAAGACCAAAATAGCCGACACAGAAAAATTTTACGATTTTACTTTAGCAATTCTGATCTAAAATGTGAAACTCAGTTTGAATCCCATCCAATTCCCTGTATGGAGCACTTAGAGGACAATAGCATAAATGTCATAAACGCAGCAAATTCTTTGTGCCAACATTTTAGGCATGCAGACATGGCAAAGCGTGATGCCAAGTATTTTCTTCCCTAATGTTCCCACTCTTTCAAATTATAAACTTTTATTTGTTTATTTTAAAACATTATATTTCTATAGCGGAGTCCAGAGATCGAACTGATTGCTACTGGCTCCAGAAAATTAAACAACAATATGGCTTTCACTACATATCAATCACATCCTGAGGTTTTACCAGGGCAGAACACACCGGTAGCCAGAGTAGGCAACTGCTTATAGGCACCTACCCTATCTTTAAATGACTTTTATCTATATAGTAATCACATTTTTGCAGAGGGAGAGTGTGCAAGATGCAATTCCGGACAATTTTGGGCATCTTCCAAATCATTGAGTACAACTGTGAAATTAAAAATTCTGTAAATATTCTATACAATTTAAATTCTGCAATTATAATGAAACCTTGAAAGGACTAAACCTTTGGTTGCCAAGGTTTGAACAATTCAGCATTTCCTTCCTTTAACAGCTAGTAACTTATATCCCGTGTTAAAGTGCCAGGAATAGAACTTTGTATTCCAGGCACTATAGAATCCCTTTAAGGTCATTGTATTCTTGGCCTAACTGGTCTATTAATTAAACAAATTATTAAGACTAATTCATGGTGAGTTGCAAAACTACTGGTAAAATTAAGTCCAAAATAAGCCAAGATTGGAAGAAACATCAACTGTGCTATTTTTGACTACATTACACAAGATGATGTTTAGAAAATGATTCCCTAAAAATATGGTAGACCTCAGTTGTGCTAGTTGTGCTAGTCCCCAACCCAGCCCTCATGGACCGCCAACAGTCCAGGGTTTATGCATTTCCCTTCTTCATTCAAATGGAGAGACTGTAAGCTCGTTTGAGCAGGGCCCTCTTCAACCCTTCATTTCTTTAAGTTTTCTTGCAACTGTCCTATTTATAGTCAAATTCCCCCCCACCCCCCCAATAATATTGTAAAGCGCTACGGAATCTGTTGGCGCTATATAAATTGCAATAATAATAATAATAATAATAATAGTGACAAAACCTGGACTGTTGGTGATCCATGAGGACTGAGTTAGGTTAACAGAATTAACATCTGTTGGAGCAATGATTAAGAAAATATTTCTGGATCTAATATACCACAAAACTAGACATGTTTAAAAACATTTAAGGCAATAGTCCAGGGCTGCCCAACAGGTAGATCCTCAGATGTTGTAGAACTACAACTCCCATGATGCTTTGTCATTCTAAATGCATTCTAAAGGCATGCAAAGTATCATGGGAGTTATAGTTCCACAACATATGGGGATCTACCTGTTGGGCAGCCCTGCATTAGTCTGAATAAAATCCTTAAACTCCCTGAGTTCATTGATTCCAAAATTCGGTTCATTCATATATCCAAATTAATTAACTGAATCACCCAATAACCTGCACACAAAGATGATTTTGATTCAGACTATTCAAGTTGTTAACTCGGATATGTGAATGAATGGAATTCGGAATCGATTTGTTCGGCGGTTTTAAGGCTTTTAAAAATTTTATTTAGATGAATGTGTTAAAACTAATTTTTGCACGTCTAATGGGAACTTCAGTTTATTGCCATAGCAAAACAGCATAAACATATTTTTAGTAGACGTCTGTGCATTAATATGCAAACATTTTTATGATGCATGCAAACATATTTTATGGTGAACAATAACAGAAAAATCAAAACAAAACACAACCTTACTCATTTCATCAGAATATCTAAAGAATATTCTAATATTGGATTCATTACATGGTTGTAATACACTATTAAACACCCACTGCCAGGTTTAGGTCTGCCAGCAATAAGGGGGAGGACTGTTGGAAAAGTACAAAGATTGATATATGTCCAACTGTTTATTTTCAGTTTTTTCTAATACTCCTCTTTTTTTAAAAAAATAATTCTGCATGTTCTTTTTATTTTAAATATCTTTGTTACTTTATTTTAGCCTTGCTGACGTTGATTTGATTTGGTATCTACATAGAACTAAGGGTCAGAGTGCGAATGTGGACCAGGGATAAGCAGTTGCTGAATATCATTACAGCAGGGAACAGTCAATGAAATACCAATTCTCACAGGGCTATTTACTAAGGTGAGAAATTACAGGTAAGCAAACTGAATTTCAATTTCGAAGCCAAAAATACTTGAAATTAAAAGTTCTATGAGTCAGTTATGCTTTTAGTTTGTGTATTTTAGTTTGTTTCTTTGAAATTTACTGTCAATTCCTTATTCTTAATTCACTGAATAAGCTTGTCAGAGTTTTATCCCAAGGATAAATAATTCCTGGGGTGTTATTTATTTTTCTATGTAATTGTCATTTAAAACAATTTAACATGATTTAGAGAATTAAAGGCAAAATATCAAAAAATCTTTAATTATCTGAGAGTGAGAGGGTTCCTTAAAGAATCTCTTATTAAGAATGAGGGAAACAGTAAAAACCTTATATTTAAAAATTTTTTTTTTTTAAAAGGAGTCTAAATCAGTCAGTTCCATCACAATGGATTTATTTAGACAATTATATACAAATGTACAACCCACAGCCAAAAAACAATGATAAAGAATGGTGCTCTTCATTGAAAGTTGTGAAAAAATACATACATTGTCTTAATTTAATAGAGACCTGCTTTAAGGTACTTCGTAGATGGTACCCAGTTCCAACTAGGCTAGCAAAAATATCTCCATTAAATTCTTCCTTGTGCTGGAGATGTCTAGCCCACGAAGGAACTATGCTTCATATCTGGTGGAATTGCCCAAAAATAATAACATTCTGGGATTCAATATATCACATTTTGTCTTTCTTTAATATAAAATTAAAGAAATCCCCAGAAAATGGTTTGCTTCATATCAAATGGAACAATTTACCAAAAATTCAACAAATTCGGACTTTACATTTTTTCATTTCTGCAAAAATAGTAATAGCAAGAGCGTGGAAACAGACATCAACTCCAGATATTTATTTATTAAAAAAACAACTTATATATCAGTTAAAAATGGAGAAAGGAGTTGCTTATTCTAATAACAATCTTAAGCATATACATCACTATGTACAGTGGATCCAAAAGATAAAAGACGCAGTTTAAGGTCATAAACTTTATAATTATTATATTGATAAATTAATTTAAATCTTTCCTAACTATGTAATATACCTTATTTTAAAGTAAGCAAGTTGTCTTGTACTGTCTTGTATTGTTTTGTTGTTATATATTGTCAAATATTTATCGTGCTTAACATGCTCGTTAAATGTTTGTCAAAACTTAAAAATAATAAAAAAATTTCAATAAAAAATAATTGAGGCTAAAGGCAAAATATCACATTGCTTCTTATTTTCCTGGTTCTGTGCATATAATGTTTTTTTGTGTGTGAATTTAGTTATTATTATTATTACAGCTTTCTGTAACACCAGACTAGTTAGTATTTAGTGTTAGGAATAGTTAGTAATAATCAGAACATTTGATTCACAAAAAGAACTATACACATGTTTAGACTGGAAGAAAAGAAATTTAGTCTAAGGCAAAGGAAAGTTTTTTTGCACAGTAAGAACACTAAGGATGTTCAGAATTCTCTGTCTTAAGAGATGGTTTTGTCAGAATATGTATAGATGTTTAAACAGCAAGTGAATGCATACTTGCAAAAACATAATATTCAATGATAGTATTTTTAAATTATTTTAAATTGATCAAAGAAAAATCTAACTGCTATTCTGGGTTCAAGAAGGAATTAGAAGTGCTTCAAATTGGGTTTTGTCACCTTATTTTGATCAACAGCAAAAAACAGATATGGTAAAGGCTGAACTTGATGGACACATGTCTCTTTCCAGCCAATGTAACAATTAAAATAAAGAGATTCCATAATGAAATTGTTCTTGATTTTCCAGCTGAGCATTGGACACGATTTGAAAAACATGCACAAGTTGTAATGTTCTATCTATCTTAAGAATATCTTAAAAAATTTGGGGTTAAAAAAGCAAAGTTTGAAAAAAGAAAACTGATTATGCCAACTACTAGAGATGTCGCGAACCGTCCGTGGCGAACTCCGGTCAGCTGACACATCCCTGCCAATCTCCGGCAGACCCTCCCTCCCAGACCCTCCTACCTCCTGGACAGCATCCATGTTGAAGCTGCCTTCAACATGGATGCTGTCCAGGAAGTAGGAGGGTCTGGGAGGGAGGGTCTGCTGGAGATTGGCCGGGATGTGTCAGCTGATCGGAGTTCGCCACGAACGATTCGCCGCGAACCGTGGCGAACCGTTCGCGAGAAGTTCGCGGACGGTTCGTGACATCTCTACCAACTACATGTGCAGAAATAATCAATTTGTCCAATTTGTCAAATGAACTGATTCTGAATCAATCTCACCTGTAAAGTCCATAGGTAAAACTGCAGGTTATTTAATTAATTGGTTATTAATTATTTGATTTGTTCAATGGTAAAATTAGACTTAAAACAATTTAGAATAGATTTGGGCTAGTATCGATTAACAAAAATGTTATTCGGATGAATCGCTTCAAACAAATTTTTGCACAAGTCTAAAATCAACCTCTTTAAAAACAGACACTTATTAAAGTTATTATGTTATAGAAACAGTGTGTACAGTTGGAGTGCAGAACACAATAAAATTAACCGAAGGACTTACTAGAATTTGTGAGAGGGCAAGAAGACAAATACTGCCCCCTATTGTCATAACATTCCAGAGAGCAGCCCAGCTGTACTGCGGATTCTGTTCTACGTTCTGGGACTGGTCTGTTCCCATCGTGTGTTGGTTCTGTGGTTCATCTGTCTCATCCAAAGAGCCCATATCTTCAGCGTAACTTCTGTCATGGATGAACCTGACAAAGAAAAGAAGGAAATTAAGCCCAGGGCTGCCATCAAATTTGGAATGATGACTCATGTCTCAAAGCTGTCAGGGACTGCTCAGCAGAAGGTTTGTACCATGTGTTTAATTTAATCACACAGTGTGATATATCATCCAGACTTCACCCACTTTACAAAAAATATTTCAATGGCAGGTTGAAATTTAATAACTAATGCGGCCTAATCTATCACTGTAGAAAGATTAAAAAAAAAACTAAAACCAATTTTTTTGTACTGCTCAAATATATACAGTACGGATGGCCAAATGATAGATCCCAAATGGTAGATACAAAGGGTAGAACCTAAACTATATGAACAAATGCAAATCCCATGAAGCAAAGTGTTGTAGTTCCACAAATGTTGTTGACCTACATTTTGGCCATCCCAACTCTACAACATAATTCCTCTATATTTGGTTTCTAGATCCTCAGAGCTGTTTAAGTGGTCCTCAAGAAATAACACAAACCAGATGATTTATAAAGGTTTCTGCCAGTTGCTTATTTATTTTTTATTTTTATAACATTAAATAGGAAGTGTCACTAACAGAAAAGTGGTCCAGTGGAGC